AGTCTTTGTGGCTTTGATTTTTTATTCACATTCAAGGATTAAAAAATCATGATACTACTTATTATCATATCTTAAAGGATTAATATTTTATTTTTTAAATATAATTATTTATTATATTTTTATATTATATATATATTTTTAAAATTTTATATTTTATATTTTTTAATAAATTAAAAAGTATATTAATTATAATAAAAAATATAATATTAATAATTAATGATGGAACAATAACATTGCTCATGATATTATATCTTTTTATATTAAAAAATTTGTCAATATTAAAAGAATTAATTTTTATTTAATAATTTAAATTATACAATATATACACTCTTTTCTTATTCAATAATTTAAAACTTAATTTAACAATATTAATTTGTATTTATAATTGTAAATTTTTTAATCTTTTAATACTTTAAAAACATATTTAAAATATTTTATATATTTAATATTTATTTTTATTAATATTTTATATATTTTTAAAATAATAAAAAAACGCAAAAACTAAAAAATTAAAACACTAATAAATATTGTTAAACAAAGTTCAAATTATACAATAGATACACTCTGAAACTGCACAAAAACATTTCTAGTTTAGAAATGAGAGGTAAAAAATAAAAAAAAGGAGGAGAAGGAAGGAAGTGGAAACAATGCCCATTTCCCGAACAGGGAATCGGGATTCTCACTTTAGACTTTAGAGGGATCATCTCCCTCAGCAACTGTTCGTTTCCTTTGTTAACTTTGCTCTATTAAATATGACAATGAAATAAACTTAATTTACGGTAAATATATATATATATATATATATATATGGGATGAAAATGAAAGGTGCATTCCATTCCATTTTGGTCCTACCAAACGTGACTTTTAGCATGTTGGCCAAAAAAGGGAAGTGACTTTAGCATAAAATTTATTCCATACAAAGGAACTTACCACCCAACAAGTTGGGCCATTAACAAATTTCATTTTCTTATTGAACAAAACATAACTTAAAAAATGTAAAGATTTTAGGTAATTCATATCGTATGGAAATATGGAACGAATTTCATTTTCATTCAAAATATACCAAAAATCCATATTGACGAGGAGAAAATTGACAGGCAATATGATTAGAAGATCTTAGGCAAGCAAAATGGTGCCTCGGATACAAGATCCTTGTTTCATCTACCTGCAATTTGCAAACACCAGTAATAAGGCACCTTCATTATTCTAAGTTTTGCAGCATTCTAGATAAATATCATATACTCCTACCACTGAACAATTGAATAGGCAAGCAAAATGGTTATCTCAAAACTAGCTAATCACAAATAGAAAATTGGCAGTTCTTTCTGTTTGTTGGTACATGGTAAGAGTCATATCTCATCATCTAAACAGAGATGCTCAATCCAAATTCCAGAACATGCAACTTTCCCCACTGTTTTTTTTTTTTTTTTTTTAATCACAAATGAACAATTGTCTAAATTGGTAGTTCTAACTTTTAACTGCCACATCCATTCACTGAGAGCAAACATCTACTACGTTCAAATTCAATTTCTACTTGTAAAGACATGGACAGACCTACAAGAGCAGGCCAAGACATTTACCATTTTGTTGATTTACATTTTGCAGCTTTACCATCATCCAAGTAGGGCCTGAATGTCCTCATGACTACCTCATATGTTGGCCTCTTGTAGTCCACTGCCTATCACAAATTTTCTTATATAATATCTTAAAGTTTTTCATATAATGCAAATCAAAGAAAATTAATCATAGTGAAGGCTTGGCAGATTATCTATTCTATAACTTTTTCAGGGTTTGCCCATTTCCACTCAACGAATTCGGATCTGCTTCCCTAGTTGCCAAGTTGATCTCACTTTCATCTTTTGTTAATCGCATAAAAAACTTGTCAATTTGTTCTAATGTCTTGTTAGGCCATAAACTAGATATAAACAGAATAAACTTATACATCTTCATTAGTATTTTAGTGAAATTAGACAACAAAAATGAGTAACTATTTATTGTTTCAAAAAGCCAAGATTAAGCTTCATCAGTATTTCAAAGATGAACCTGATAATTATAGAACATAAGTTGTTCAAAAGTTAAAAACTATATGATATTCATTAGAATCAAGTCTTTCATCCTTCTTAAGTGCTTTAATAATAACTCATCCATCAATTTGGAGTGTTTGAGCTTTAGCATTAGAACAACGGTATAATTCATTATTAGAAAATAGCATATAATCGACAAAAATATAATCGACAGTAAAAAAACTGTCGATTTTACTTATATTATCGACAAAAACTCTGTCGATTATACTAAAGTGTCGATTATACAAGTATAATCGACAGTCATTGTGGCTGTCGAATATACTTTTTAATAATCGACAGCCATTTCTGTCGATTATATTATCGACAAAAACTCTGTTGATTATACTAAAGTGTCGATTATACAAGTATAATCGACAGTCATTGTGGCTGTCGAATATACTTTCTAATAATCGACAGCCATTTCTGTCGATTATAGCAAGTATAAT